GCTGCCAGATGAAAACCACATTGTGTGGCAATTTACATTGTATTCTTCTAACATCGAGAGATTCAAGACAGCCTGGCTCCTGCCATCTTATGAACAATTCTGCCCCAACACACTGGCTACTGTTCTCTCTATTGAATTGCAAGTTTTTCTTTTGGATATCGATAAACAGCTGCAGAGTCAAATTAGTACTGTTTACTGTCAAATTATGATGGAAACTGATCCTTTCTGTTCTTTGTTTATAGCGCCTGTACTGCTTGTCCCAAACCTCCAGAGTAACTAAATGCGAGTGGATGGCTTCTGACGGTGGATGCTCTCCCAGATCAAACAGAAGGCAGATTTTGTTTGTCTTTTAAAATAAACCATCTTTTCAGGTTCATGGGCTCGGAATAACAACTATCACATTTCCCCAGCTGTTTTTTATTCCTCTGCTAATTTTACAGCTTGGTCTTTTAGAAGGAGGGCTCTGTCTTTGTTCCATTCCTATGGTGCTGGTTCAGTGCCAGGGGAACAGAATATTCATAGAAGTTTAGAAAGCCAAGAGAAAGAGGAGAGTATGTTTGTGATTTGGATGCATGGATAACAGTGTTCTAAAGACTCATCACGAAATAAACAGTGTTTATTGTCAAAACCCAAATATTGTAGCAATCTCTAAATAATAGAGTATTTAAAATCCTGGTCCTATTACCTAACGTTTATTTTCCTTCCAAGCTCTTTGCCATTTGCATATTCAATAAGCAGACCTTCAATGTATTCCTCTAAGCTCTTTTATTTATTTATTTATGTATTTGAACAAGACAAAGATAAGTAGCCTGTCACTTAGAAATCATCTGCAGATTGACATGATTTCACCGATCATTACTGTGGACACATGGATATGCAACTTGTTCTAAAACCAGCCAAATGCATTGCCCTTCTGCTTGTACTTTTCTGTCTTGTTCATCAGCCTGTTGTGAAGAAGAGTCTTGCAGACTGCCTCACTGGAATCCAGACACTCTACTTCTGTTACATATTCTGGATGAGTCAAGCTACTCTCACACCAGTATAATACTGTGCTGTCATGAAGAGGCTTCAGGGAACCCATGCTGGTTCTTGGTGATTACTGGTACTTTATCTCATGCTTGCAAACCAATTTTTCAACAGCTTGATCTAGAATCTCACCCAAGGGTTCTATCACATTGATCTGCAGCTAGCAACTTTCTTTTTACCTTTTTCAAAAACAGGATCAATAATTTGCCAAATTCATCTAATATTCATCCTGAAAAAGTGAATTTACATACGCCATAAAATTTAATCTTCATGATGATTTTATAAGGCAAGTACCATATCCCCACTTTATAAAAAAGGAAACCAGCACTCAGAGGAGTTAAGTCCTACAGCAAGAGCCAGAAACCTGTTTGCCATCCCTAGTCTCCACATTCCTGCCAGTCCGCTAACCTGGCTTCTAAATCATCTCTGATATGACCCCACCCTTGCATTTTAAATTTCCACTCTCCTTCCATTTGAAGCTCCGGCCAAATTAGGCTACTATCTGAGCTTAAACATGTCTGGTACCATCCTGGTCCATGCCCATGCCCTTCCCCTATAGACAGCATTCAGTTAAAATATCACAACTTCCACACATCCTTCTCACACAAACACTCATATATACACAAGCACAGCTGTAACTATGGCTGCCCAGTTGTTTGACCATGAATAGAAAGAGCCCATTACTGTGAGGAGGCTTGAGCCTTTCTGTCTTTAAAGCCAGTGAGCTCACTCAAGCTGAGGAGAGTACTTGGAGGGCTCCAGGGGCTGGGGCAGAATAGCAATACCGGGCTCAGCAGACACAGTGATTCCTGCATTGCCTTCCTTCTTTCATTGGCGCTATACTGTACCTGGGAGCACAGACTCTTCCACATTCCTGAGTGTGGTAGAGAAAATGTCAAATATGTACAGCCCTTGGCAGGGTGGAAGCACCTAGAACCCTTGCTGTTAACATGGTGTACTTATAGTTTCCTCAATCCGTGAGAAGCTGGGGCTTCTTGTCCAATATACCATTCATTCCATCATTTCTTCAATAAGAAAGTCTTAACCACCTACCACTGAAAAACACGAAGGAGAGTGAAAAGATGGATAAGAAATGGTTCCTAAGCTCTAGTGTGTGAAAGATAACCTCAAAGATCACAAGTTAAGGCATGAAAGGTCTAAAAGTTACTACATAAAGGTCTTACCAAGCATACAAAAACAAAACAAGATACTTTCAATGTTCAGAAGAAGTGAAGCTCTTTTTACTGATTTTAGTGGAGAGCTAGAAATGGAATAATGGGAAGCATTTTAGAAATAAAGATGGTTGTGGGGACAAATGAATGAAGGCAAAGGTTGCAAGAGGCGTTCAGGCAATGGCAAGTGTATCTTGGCTATGGTACAGGCTCCATGCAGACCATGGGAACTAGTAAAGGGGAGACTAAAGACAACTGCAAGCAGCAGGTGGATGAATTTGCATTCCTCTGGAAAAGTGATGGAGAGCCACTGAAGGCTTTTGAGCAGGGGAGTGACATGATCAACACTGTTTAGGAGGCTGATCTGGTCATCTGTGATTAATCTATGTGAATGGCTGATGTAGAAAGAGTAGCTCATATGACATGTATAGCTCATATGTTACATGCTCTGACTTCATTCTGGTTGCAAAGCCTTCTGAAATATCTTCTGAATTTTCTCACGTCTCCTTGTTTACCACACTCACCACAAAATATAAGAAAGCCTGGAGTGGGATCCCAACATCTTTTTTCTCTTTCTTTTCTTTTCTTTCTTTTCTTTCTATCTCTTTCTTTCCTTCTTTCTTTTGAACAATATATCTGTGCTTGTTCTAGTTATTTGAAAATGGCTATGGTTGAGTCAGATAAGCTCCTAAAAAGTGAAAGTAACTTCAAGCTGAGGGTTTGGATCTGATATAGAACAAAGTTCATTTTCATTATCATCATCTCTACCTCTAGCAACTACTGAGGACTCACTCTCCACTAGATATTTATTATAAACTCATTTAATCTTCATAATACTATAAGCTAGAGGGAGGTGGCTGACTTTTCCATTTGATCAACACAACATTTTGTTTCTAGATTCTCTTTGGTGAATGCATAATCCAGGCCCAGAATAGAATTTCCAACCTGCATCCTAGAAACCAGCTCAGGCATCAAGCTGGGTATAATCTGGTGTTCTGGTTTGGCTTTATCTTTGGACCTGATTGATGTTGAGATCTGGATTTCTTTATTTCTTTCATTGTTTAAATATTTCTTGAGCATCTGCTATGTGCCCAGCATTTTGATGAACAAGACAGACATGTTTCTTGCTCTCGTGGATGGTTTTTCTTGGAGAGCCAGACGGGAGAAACATTTATCACCCAATTCATGACGACAAGAAAACCTGGGTATAAGACTTTATTCAAATGTTAATTATTGTGAAACCATAGCCAAGCTTTTAAATGTCCCAGAGCCTCAGTTTCCTTGTGGTTAGAAAGACAGAAGTCGCCTGGAGGATATCAGCTCTCTATCAGATACTACGATTTTCAGAGTTTCAAAAAGTGAAGTCATGCTGCAATCAGATGCCTTTCCCATCCCCCCACCTCACCCTTTCTGCTTTCCAGGGCTAGAAGGTTCAGGCTTCAGAGGAGTGTACTTATCACACTGCAACCTCTTTCCCACTGGTGCTAATTGGGGTCATTGTTATGTGGGCAGTCCACGTCCCCAGAGGGCCTGATAGGTCCAGCCTGGCTGTTTGCTCAGTGTCACTCTGAATCAAAGCCTGCTCCATTTTAACTTGACATTGTTTCTCTGTTTACTTTACCTAACAAGCTAATCATTTACTCCATAAAAAGCCCATTTTGGAGATGGGTTGGGATTCAGGAAAGGGAGATGCTGGCCCTTCTTCCTGACCTAGTCTATGAGCTGAATTACTCAGTGAGAGGTGATGTTCCCTGAGACACACACCAGAGACACGGGAATAAACAAAGCTGCTGTTATCCTCTCATTGAAAGAGGTCATGCCAACCGAGCTATGCAGGATTCTTCAGAGAAGGGAACCCAGGAACTTGCTGTCAATCTCATTACAGAAAGACACCACAGAGTCTCTTTGAATGTAGGGTTCTGTTGACCCACAGTGTGCCATTAAACTGGAAATAGGATTGAGAAAGGCAGTTACAAATAACAAAGGAGTTAAGCCATTCATTTTCACCCTCCTCTACTTGCTCCAATATGAGCATGCAACTTCCTTTGTTCAATGGCATTTGGCAGCTGCCAACCTCAAAGCCATTTTTATTTTTATTTTTCATCTGTGGTTTCAGCCATGCACCAGAAGGTTATCTTTTCCCCTTTTTCTGCAATTAAAAATTTTCATTAAAAAAAAAAACAGGGCTGGGCACAGTGGCTCACGCCTGTGATCCCAGTACTCAGTGAGGCTGAGGCGGGGAATCACGAGATCAAGAGATCAAGACCATCCTGACCAACCTGGTGAAACCCTGTCTCTATTAAAATACAAAAATTAGCTGGGTGTGGTGGCGCATGCCTGTAGTCCCAGCTACTCAGGAGGCTAAGGCAGAAGAATTGCTTGAACCCAGGAAGCAGAGGTTGCAGTGAGTCGAGATTGCGCCACTGCACTCCAGCCTGGCACCTGGCGACAGAGCAAGATACTGTCTTAAAAGAAAAAAAAAAAACAACAAGAAGTTGATAGGAAGATAAGTTCTATCACTAGAAAGCAGAGGGAAAATTATGACGTAGGCAAAGAAGTTACTTAACAGCTTGGGCCAGCCATTATGTTCTCTAAGCCTCAGTCTCTCCATTTAGAGAATGAGAATGAGAGCTAAGAAGACAAACAAAACATCATGAATAAAACCATAACGCTGTTTCCTTCACAGATTTATTCATTCATTCAATTAGTGAGTGCCTACTCTGTTCATCACAGGAATAACTTTTAATTCCCTCAGAAATAGGAGAGCTCACACCTAGCTACCAAACCTATTAAAATATACTTGAGAATTTGTTCCAGTAACTCCGTGTTTAATAACCATACCATTTGAGTAGTCCTCTTCTCTTTATCTGTCTTCCTCACCCTTCACCCACTAGTCCAAACTTCAGTGTGGAGAATAATATCTTCTCTCAATGCCCCACCTCAACTCCCTTCTCTACAAATCTTTTCTTGAGTTCAGGGAATCAAATGGAGAAAAGGTGTCTTGAGAAAAAACAGATATGGAAAAGAATAGATGGCCTTTGATGATTTAGTTCCCAGTTAAAAACCCAAAGGATATCAGTTTATTCAATCCCACAAATGTCTAGCAACATTCTGCTATGCAATGTCGTAGCTCAGGAAGAGCTGGGTTCTAGTCCTCTTTCTACCACTAATTGGCTCCCTGGTACAGGCCAATTCCACTGCCTCTGTAGGTCCCTTTCTCTATAAAGGGGGCCTGGAATGAGTGGCCACTAACGACCCTTCCAGCAGTAACATTTTATGATGCTGATGAGTGCAGGGGAAAGAAACTGAAAACCAGCTCCTGCAAAAATGGAATCACGTTGCCATTTCTGTTCTTTATTTGATCACGATTACTGAAATTATTTAGAACATATTTCCATGTTGAGTCTAATTACAGAATCTTCTAATTTTATTGTTTGTTGTTGCCACTGGAACCCAACTTGTTTTGTTCATTTTCTCGGGTGGAAACTTTTTAGCACTGAGTGCATTTTTATGAGTGTCTTTAAAAGAGAGATTTAGATGCAGTCTCTCTGCTTTGGTATGGACTTCCCTGAAATTTACAGGGGGAAAAAAAATATCTAGTCACTTTGAATTTAGGTCAAACCAAATTTTAATATCCAAAGAATTTAATCAGAAGGCTGGAGTCTACATTACTGCTTTAAGATACCAGATTTGGCATGCGTTCTATTTTGTTATGAAGGACCCTACCCATCTCAAGGCTAATGCAGTACATATTAGTATTCAAGACCTCAGGAAATCTCATTTTGGTTTAAATTTAACTCTATACAGTCTAGCACTTGTTAAGTAGAGAACTCCCTGCTTCATATGTAGTCTCATAGATCGCATCAGATTTATTTCCCTAGTTTAGGGTGATTCAAGAGTTACCAAATGGTTCAACACGTTCCAAAGCAAATGTGATAACATCACATGAATTCAGTTCTCATTAATTTAGAATTTATGTATCTTGAGGGTACACAGGCAAACATAAGCAAATAGTAGTGTAAATGACTTTTAAGGAATGTTTAATGTTCTTAAGAAAACGTTTTAAGTGCATTAACAATATCTTTAGCATTAAAGAAGGTGCTAAATACAAATGATTGTAAATTAATCTCCAAAGCTGATAAAGTAGCCCCTCTTTGCACAATCCATATTTAGCCATTATTTGTGACACCATTTATAATTGAAATTATTTTTGAAACATTTTACAATTCTAGCTTTTTCCCTTTGGAGTACATCGGTTTCTCAATTTCATAGAAATTTATAATATTGCTGTTATATATTGTACCACTTTGAAAAATGGAACGTTTGATTGCATTTGATCATGGTGCAAAATTTGTTTTATGTGATTCACTGAGGGTAATGATGAAAGCACTTGTGGTGACAAGAATGTTCAAGGTGAGTTTGAGTAAACACAGAAGGAAAACACGTCATGAAAAGATTGATCCAATTATCTTATTACCAGGCAAGTAAGGCCCAGAAAGGCAAACTGTCTAAAGTTCTGCAGTTCAGCAGGAAGTGAAGCAAAAACAAGAAAGCGTGGCTTTTGACTCTTAGTTCAGGCTTTTCCACTACCCTGGTCGCTACTTTATGGAAGGGGCTGACTTCCATAGAGACCAGGGTGGCGGAAAAGGGTCCTTCCAGGCCCATCTTGCACTTCTGTAAGTGATCTTAAACTGCCCCAGTGTCTTAACTTCACACGGAATCTCTAGTTTAAGGTACACTGAGAGCCCACCTACAAAATTGCTCAATTTCTCCCAAAACCATGTACCCGGCCGCCTCTAAGACTTTTGTTCCAAAGCATCTGACTCAGTGGTAGCCTCGTCTAGTCCCAATTACAGTAGGGGGTGGGGGATATATACATCCTGCCACATTGCTTAGCCTGATCCTTCCACCCGTTTCCACCTCCTGCTCACTGGTAAGCCAAGAGAAAGTGGGTATTTTAGGGAAACTGCACCGAGAGGTCACCAAAGCAACCTGGATTTTCTTCAAGTTGAGCTCAAGATCCACAGGCCACAGTAACCTGATTCTTGAAATAGTCACCACTGATCCTGGAAGCTGTTTTCTTTCTGGTTTGTGATTTTCAATAGGATTCCAAACAACCAAAGGGGGTTGGGGTGGGAGGAAGAAGAACAAGCAAAGAGAGAAAAATTCCTAACCTTCCAAAACCAGACATTTATCACAGTCATTTACACAATGACCTCAAGAGAGGTCACTGCTACTTTAGAGCTGGCGACAGTGCTGTGGTGAGCACCAAAAGGCTTTTCTGGCCTAACAAGCTAATTAGCTGATGATCATATTCACTTCCTTGCCTCCTTCCTAAATTTCTTAAACATGTGTTTCTTGGAATCCACCTCTTTTGCCACATAAGCCCAAGTGACAAATCATCAGTCCCGAAAAGCCAATGCCTCACAACAAACAACCAACATCTGTTGCAGCTGCCAGAGGACGGGAGCCAGTGATAAGCCAGACTACCAAATTTGGTAAAAAGGGGGGGAAAAAAAGGAAAGAAAAAAGCTGTTTGTGCTGGCTAAGTAGCATATTCCAAAGTACAATGATGGCACTGACTTATTTGCAAAATATTTTGAGATCTGTTACACTTAGGAAGCTTGGTGAGAGAGAGGGCTGTCATCAGGGACAGGCTGGCTGGCTCCCAGGAAAGCAGTAGCTTGATGAAGTTACCACAGTCCACATGCTGGTCCTCAGCCTGGCAGGTCCAGCAGTTACAGTTAGTCTGCATTTATCCAGAGAAGAAAAGTCAGTTTCTTGTGGACTGGTACTTGATAGCCAAACATATAGTGGCTTGATGTATAAACCAGAGATTCGTCTATTAAATAGCAGTAGAGCTGACCTCTTCAGGAGCCAGCGTGTCCTCTCTCCCCTCCCATCCTTATTTGAAATGCTCTTCCTCAGACACCTGGGAAACCATCCTAAGAATCTGAAGGTGCCTAGCACACAGCCTTGATACAACAAAGGCAGGAAGACAGCACTAAAAGACCTTTCACCCCAGTCAAAATGTCTCTTTTGTGAACAGGCCTAGATGACCCCTGCATATTTCTGTCTTTCTACAATTCCAGGTTGCCCGCCTCCCTTGTGTTCTCAGTCTTTCCTAAAGCTCCGGGAGCTGATAAGTAAGAGAGCCTGGATTTGAAGTCATGTGTGTCTCTCTTCAAAGGCTGTGTACTCAGCCACTTTAAAGATGTCCTTGGTATTTTCAGATAGTCTGAATCTCCTCCCTTGCTTTGGCTATTTATTTTTTAACTGAGAAAGTGAAAGGTGGGACTATTGTTAGCTATGGCAGAGAGAGGAGGGAAGAGACAGGACTGAATAAGGTCTGTGCACATTTAGAGACAGGACTCTGTTACTAAATAAGAATCTTGTTCAACATCTTTGTTTCCCTCATGTCTAGAAAGACAGGCCCAGAGACTTCACCTGGGTTCCTAAGTCTACACGGTCACGGTTTACAAGGACGAGAGAAAAGTATTTCTAATCTCTTTGAGTTGTTGACATTTGTAATCTCTCTGCACATAACAAGAGACTGATGGATTAACCGCAATGCTGGAAAGGACAGACAATCTCAAGAGCCAGTTTTTTTTTTTTTTTTTCAGTTAAAATAACAAAAATAACAACAAATAAAAAGTCTACCATTTTGTTAATCTTTCTAAAATGCTTTAATTGATTCTACCTCAGTAATTAAGGTCTAATAAACATAACTGAGACTTTCTTAAATTATTGAATATGAGAATGGCCATAGACTATTATAGACATAGCTATAGTTGCTATAAGATTGTTCCAAACCCTGGGTTTGTTTTTTCCCTGCCTCCTTTTCTTAATGCAAACCTGTTTTCTTGTGACTTTTCCTTAAAAGTTAAGGTGAGTTAAATTCTAGCTATGTGACAATTAGGAGAGTTAAGCTCTATTTAATTAGAATTTTGCAAGTACAAGGATTTATAGAAAATAATAATTTATAGCTTGGGGGACTATAGTGATCATATAATCCAACAACCTCATTTCATAAATGAAGAAATGAATACCAAGACAAAAGTGATTTACTTAAGGCCACTCAATCATTTAATAGCAGAGTCAATATGTAAATCACATCTAACTACAAGTTGAATTTGTTTTTAACTCAGTGGAAGTGAAATTAACAGATGACCTGGAAAGCTGTTCCATTGATGAGGAGGAAGGGCATGGGGATGTCCTCATGGCTGTCTATGTCTGTATTAAGACCTCAAACACCACCAACTCAAAAGAGATTAGAGACACCTTTACCCACAAAAACCATGGCCTATGGACTTAGGCAACAAGGTGAAGTTTCTGGGCCTCTCTTGATTAAGAAGATCTGAGGGGTGAAAAGACCCAAAAGATGTCCAGGGATGACAGGCTGCAGGAAGAGGAAGCCTTCCAATGGCTGCCTGAGGATGGGCCCGCAGTGGATGCCAGGAAAGCTGTCCTGAAGAGTCTAACAGGTGGAGGGGGAAGCCCCAGCTTGAGTTACCTCCTCCCATTCTTCCCACCTCACCTCTTCTTTCCCCACCCTGCCCCATCAAACTCAGCAGGACCTCCCTCTTTTGGGTAATAGTTTTTATTAGGCGTGGAAAGAATTTTCCCTAGCACAGCTTCTGGCTCCGCACATTTATTCTGTCTTCCTTCCCCTCCATTACTCTTGTACTCCCCAAGCCAGGTGCCCTAGGACATGGTGAAAATGAGAGATGACCTTTGTCCTGCACCTTGGTGCCACGATGGGGGACAAGTCCACCTAGCAGGTGGTAGGAATATGCCTGCCATTACTGCCCCAGGACAGCAATCCCATTACTGAGTATATACCCAAAGGATTATAAATCATTCTACTCTAAACTCACAGCCACACATATGTTTATTCTAGCACTATTCACAATAGCAAAGACTTGGAACCAGCCCAAATGCCCATCATTGATAGACTGGATAAAGAAAATGTGGCACATATACACCATGGAATACTATGCAGTCATAAAAAAGGCTGAATTCATGTCTTTTGCAGGAACATGAATGAAGCTAGAAACCGTCATTCTCACCAAAGTAACACAGAAATAGAAAACTAAACACCACATATTCTCACTCATAAGTGGGAGGTGAACTATGAGAACCATGGAAACAGGGAGGGGACTACCACACCAGGGCCTATTGTTGGGGTAGGGGGCTAGGGGATGGATAGCATTAGGAGAAATACCTAATGTAGATGATAGAATGACAGGTGCAGCAAACCACCATGGCATGTGTATATCTATGTTAACAAACTTGCACATTCTGCGCATGTATCCCAGAACTTAAATTATAATAAAAAAATACATAGAAATGATGACAAACCACCCTAACATACCCCAAGAAATCTGAACTCATGTATGCCCAAATCTCTTGCCCTTTAGCCAGATCCCCAAAATGCCCATGGCTGCCTCAAAGTGACCTAACTGGAAGGAAGGTGTGATGGAGAAAAGGTCAGGAGAAAAAGGCAGTGGTCTTAACTGGTTGTGTTAAAATTGATTACTTTTCCAAATTTTACAAAAACATATGAGCTCTAAGCCTCCACCTGTGCAAGGGGTGAGGGCAGGGGGAGTGAGTGGGAGATTCTAAAGCTTCAGCCTCATCAGCTTCACAGTAAATCCAGGCCTTAAATCTGGAAATGCCAGACCCATTGACAAAGCTGGATACGTGCTCCCCAACTTCTCAGCAGGCTGAGTCACCTGATGTCTGCACTATGGAGCTGCTCTTCTTAAGTTTGTAGCCAGGGGATGGCAGTGGGGGTGGTCCCTGATAATCCTTAAAATGAATCCATATGTGGCTGGACTTGTCTCATGAAGTGGAGGAGGGTGAGGAAGCAAGACCAGCAAATGTCTGCATCCAGAGGTTGATTAGCATCGTTGGGGGAGGAAAGAGTCTCATATCAGTGTGGGAAGCTGAGAGAGGAGGGAGGAAAGTGGTGTCGCATACACATGTGCACACACACACTCACACGTATACACATGCATACACACATACATACCAACCAATTCCAAACTCAGGTTTGGGCACTGTGGACACAGGCTACAGTGTGAAGCTAGAGCAGAGGATTTCTAAAGGATCTAGTAAGTCATGAGGACTCATGTCTTCACTCGGTCGAGCCCCAGTGGGCTAAGTGTGTGACAAAGTGGGGTAGTGGCCTCTCCATGTCTGAAAGAACACAGCATGGCTCTGGCAGGGTGAAGGCTGGCAGTGGTCAGAGGACAGGACCTGGAACTTGGACCATGGTATTTCTGCAGGAGGTGCTGGAGCAGGGGCAGGGAGAGGCAGCCCAGGAGGCCGTGCAGGCAGAGGACATCATCGAGGCAGGGGAGGGGCAGAGTGAGAGAGAACACAACACAGTGACCATGACTGGCACAGTTGGCACATCTTCCCGGGACTCCCAAAATGGCTGGTGGGGCTCTATGGAGGACTGAGGCCTTGTGTGAACAGATGGGCAAACTCAGGGAAGACCCTAATGTTGCCACTGAGGCCAGGGAGATTCAATGTCCATTTCATGGACATCAGCATCTCAGCCTGCTTTATAAAATCCCACCCGAGCTATATGATTGATCTGAGTTTGAAGGCTGAAGAAGGATATGGTGACCCTTTCCAGGCCCAACATTCAGGGGATCAAAGGGTCAGATTAGAATTAGATTCTACTTATTCATGTATCCCTTCACTCATTAAATATTTATTGAGGTTCCACTATGTGCCAGGCACTGTTGTGGGTGAAACAGAGAGTTCCAGCTGATAGCAGAGGGAATCGGCAATCACCACATAAAGAATTGAATCGCTCCATTGCACTTCCAGCTGGTGGGGAAGCTGTGGCAGGGAGGCAGCACCACTACCCTGGAGCCAAACCGACCTGGATTTAAACTCATTACCAGCTGTGAGAACTTAGGGGATCTACTTAGTCTTGCTGAGCCTCTGATGTTGTGGTCCTTGCCTGTAAAATGGTCATAATAACAAGACATACTTCTTGAGTTAGCATGAGGATTAGAATGTAGAATCCACCTAAGTATTTAGCAACTTCTGGCGCACACAAGGGCTTGGTAAGTGGGAGGTATTCATGTCCTATTCACATTATCGTTCTCTCATGCTCCCCACTTGGAAGTTATACTGTAGCTCGAAGCTGTGAGCCAGACCAGTGCACATGTGATTGAAGGAAAGAAGGCACAGCCTTCAGCAAGCATCGACAGGAGAAATGCTGTGGTCTCAGTGGCACCAGAGCATGTTGACAGCAGCCATGGACACATGGCAACCGGCTCCTGCACTGTAGAGAAGGAAATTGACAAATGCCGTGAAGGAGCCAGAGGACTCCACATGTAATAATGCAGATGACACCTTCTGGAGACTCTTGGGAAAACTGGAGGAGGGGGCATTTTGAGGGTGGTTTGGGGTTCCTGTGGTCACAGGTGGAGCCAGAACTGAGAACTGAGGTTTGCTAGCTTATGTTTCTCCCTCTAGGTTGGAGGCTGGATAACTGTGGGCTATCACAGAAGTACCCTTCCCTTCTTAGGCTTGGATAGGGAGGTGGCACTGACCTGGCCCTGAGGATGAATAGGAGCTTGTCAGGGAGGACACCACACTGTTTAGGAAGCCACCACAGTCCTGAAAAGGAAGGAGGAGAGAAGGGAATGGGAATGAAGTTGGAAAGGTAAGTTGGAGCCAAATTGGGAAAAGCCTCCTATGCCACACTCTACTCAATTTTGCAGGGTTTTTCTTTTTTGGTGGTGTGTGGAGTGGGATTTTAGAAGCCATAAATTCCATTTATGGAATTTTAGAAGCCATAAATAGAAAGCAGATACAACAGTCAGGTATGCATCTTATTGAGGGTTCCCTATGGCAGCGTGGAAAGTGGATTGTGTACGTGTGAGGGGTGGGATTAGGGTGTGAGCTGTCATCAGAAAAAAAGTCAAAGTTATCAACACTTTTGTGTACTGAGTGCTACCAGCTGACACACAAGGATGTGGTTTTTTCTCTCTCTGCACGTGTGCTAACCGCCTTTCTTTCTCCTCCTGCAGGGAGTTCCTGGTTCCTCTGATTCCTCCTCCTAAGAACATTTAGACCAGACTGGTTCTAGAAGTCCAGAGCAAGGCCATCCCTGAAACAGTTATGACTCAGAGAATAAAAAACATTCAAACTAAATAGAAGACAAGAACCATTCATTACCAAGAACCATTCTAATACCCTGGCTATCGGAGTCGGCTAGATGTGAGCGCCTGGGTCCAAGCCACGTATGTAGGGGTAGAATGAGTAACACACATTGATCTGAGAACCTGAGAAATGTTCCTCTGTGCCCAAGTTGATTCTCTTTATCAAAATGGCTTTTCAATTAGAAGAGATACAAGAAGAAATTACAACCTGGGCTCTTTGCCTCTTGCTTTTTATGTGACCAAAAGTGTCAGAAAGACATGGGGTAGTGAGCAGGGAGATGAATGCTTTTTGTTGGATGCACAGACCCCAGAGCTTCCCCAGGCCTTGCTCCGTAGAGCCTGCACCCCCAGCCAGTCTCACTCCACAGCGCTTCTGCTTCCTCGCTGACCCAGGCCATGCCATGCTCCTTCTTGCTTCCCACCTTGCCCAACACCCTCGGCCATACCCGAAATCCCCTTTTTCCTCTGTCCTCCTCATCCCATCCATCCCTCAGATCTAGATCATGATCACTCTTTATATCTTCCACTGGTTTCTCCTAATCAGGCAAGTCCTTACCAAAAATAGCAACAGCAATAAGGACAGATATCCATGCTGAGCCTGCCAGCTAGACACTGAGAGTGCCCTTGCTCAGCTGTGCACTCATTCAGCACACTGTCAGGATGCCTACCAGGGTTCTGGCGGTGCAAGTAATAGATAGGTCCTTGTCTTCCTGACACCCTACAGTGCTTCCTGTCCTCATAGGGGCCCTGGAGCCAGGCTGCCCTGTTCATTCTGGACACAAAACTCAGGTGCAGTGGGCCAGAGGACCATCTCCAATGCTGTACTGATAAAAGTGGAACAACCTTTAGATGCTGGTCAGTATGATGTACATTCCCAAACACCAAGACCCAGGGACACCTCCTACTGGGTGCATAGCTGGCAGCATGCCAGACCTGAAGCACCTCCCATATTTTCATATTGTTCGGTGTGGAATGGATTTAGATCCTTAACTGAGGCCGTTTAAGGCAGGGGCCCAGTCTTGGGTGTAATTACTTCCTGTAACACCTAGAGCCGTGCTGAGTCCAAAATACTTGGAGAGAGAAGTAAGGCGAGTCTTATCTGGCTTCCAAGCTCCTGTTTGTTTTTTACCCATAAATTCAGCTGCAGAGGGAGGGCCAGGGGATCTTCTGGATATTGCGAAATGTGCAGGCTGCCCTGCTTGTCTCCAGCTCCCACCGTCTTCTAACCCTTTAAAGAAAGTCCTTCTAATATGGGGTGGGGCACGGTTAGCTCAATTGCTACGCAGAATCTTCTAAATGTACTATGTAATCATGCATGTGTTCTAAACATATGTGGCATTCTTTTTTAATCTCTCAAGTAAATAATAAATAACAAGTCAATCATATGACACTGATCTTATGCCAGGCATTGCTCTAAGATGGGTTTTCAGCGGAGCAGCATCAACATCACCTGCAGGCCTGTTAGAAATAATAACTAAAGGGCACTTTGGGGTAGGGGCCAGCAATCTGTGTTTTCACTAGCCCTCCAGGTGATTCTGTGAGCACCAAAGTTGAGAACCCACTGTTCTAAAGGCTTTTCATGTACTAACTTGTTTCATTCTCATTCCAACTCTACAAAGTAGGTTCTCATGTGAAATTCTATTAGCTCTTTGTCACTGCAGGAACTAGAGTACAGAGGTTTGTCCACTGCTCAAACCAGGATTCAAATCCAGACAGATGTACTTCAAATCCCCCAGTGGGGGCAAGAGGGCTTAACCTCAGGGGGTCTGGGGACT